CCGCCGCCATCGCAGCTCTGCAGGGCCAGGTGGCCGCCCTGCCCGCAGCTCCGGACCTAGCCCCTTATGCTCTGGCCGCGGACCTCGCCGCGGCAGAGGGTTCCATCGTGGCCAACGCTTCCGGGTTGGTGGCCGTGAACACGAGCCTGACCCAGGGCCTGGCGGGCAAGGCCAACCAGTCTTCGGTGGACCTCAAGCTGGCCAACCATCCCACGACGGCTGCGATGAACAGCAGCATCGCCTCCACAAACAACGCAACCTTGGCGACTGTTGCGGCAAACTACGCCCTCAAGTCGGTGGTCGATCAGCTGGCGATCGATCTGGCGGCCCGGCAAACAGCCGCCGACGTGGACCAGCGGGTCGCCACGGCTTTGCTGGCCTACGTCCAGCAGGCGGCTCTGGACGCCGCCCTGGCGCTCAGAGACGGCAGGCTGGACGGCCACGACGCCGACATCTTGGCGCTGCAGAGCGCGGGGCCCTTCGCCCTGCCCAGCGAGATCACAGCGCTGCAGGCATCCATCGATGCCATCTTGGCGGAGATCCGTGAACGCTCCGGCCTGGCCCGGGAATGTGATCAGGTCGACCTGGGACCTGCTGGCCGGGACCAATCAGATCCGCAACTTGCACGCCACGGGGCCGCTGAGCATCCAGCAGGCCAACGACAACTGGACCCTCAGCTTCTCCGTGGACAGCTACTCGAAAGGGGAAACGGACGCCCTGCTGGCTCCCCTGGCCAGCGAGGCCTGGGTGAGCAACGAGATCTTGGCCGCCCTGGCCGCCTACAGCACGACGCTGCAGGTGGGCACGGCCATCGCCGATGCCCTGGGAGCTTACAGCAGCACTTCGGAGATGAACACCGCCATCTCCGATGCCATCGCTGCCCTGAACGTCGGGCAGTACCAGGACGCTGCGGGGGTGCAGTTCCTGATCGACCAGGCCCTGCTGGCTTATTGGACCCAAGCCGAGGTCTCGAGCTTCGTGGCGGGAGAGCTGGCCAACTACGCGACGTCTGCCTCCGTCAGCTCAAGCATTTCCTCGGCCCTGTCGAGCTATGACCCCAGCGGGGTCGTCGACAGCAAGATAATAACTGCTCTGCTGGACTTCTACACGCGGGCGGAGGTAGACCAGGAGATAGCCAACGCCCTGGGCAACGTGGATCTCTCGGGCTTCTACGACCAGGCCCAAACGCAGAGCTACGTGGCCAACGAGCTGCTGGCATATTACCCCCGAACCGAGCTGGACTCCCTGCTCACGGCCACACTCACCCAGTACTGGACCAGCGGGCGCACCCAAGCGGAGATCGACGATGCCATCGCCGGCGCGGGCTTCCAAACCCAGGCGGACGCAGATCTCCGCTACTTCGTGCGGGCTCCCGGTGCGGAGTCGGGGCAGATCTTCAATTTGGTCCAGGAGCAGTTCACTCCGCGGATCGTGCGCAATTTGCTTTTGGAGGCGCCCCTGGTGGGCGACGCAATTCTGGGCAATCAAAGTACGCTGCGGCTCCGCTGCGACTCCTGGACCAAGGCCGAGGCGGACGGCCGCTTTCTGAGGACCAACGACCTCGGACCTTTGGATGCCCGCTACTTCGTCAACAGCCCCGGTGCCCCTCGCATCATCAGAAACCTCCTGTGCCAATCGCCCCTCTCCGCCCAGCCCATCCTGGGGAATGGGTCGACCCTCCAAATCAGCTGCGACTGCTGGAGCAAGGGACAGTCTGACACCCGCTACCCATTGATAGCCAACTTCAATTCGTTGGGCCAGCGCGTCACCGACCTGGAGAACAGCCCAGGAGTGGACCCCACGGCGGACCTCACCGTCAACAGCCTCACGGCCACAAGCTTCGTGCAGACACCATTGCTGCAGAGCGCTGCAGCCGATCTCCAAATCCGGAACGGCACCACCACCATCCGCGCCGAAGACGGCACATTGGTGGCCTCCTTCGCTGCCGGAAGCATCGGCTTGGAGCAAGACATCACCGTGCGCTCGGACCGCACTTTGAATGCAACCACGGCGGACGTCGCCCAGTTTTTCGTCGGCAGCACCGCAGCCACGGGGAGTTTTGCGAGCAGCAGCTCGGTGACGGCCACGCAGGAGATCACGAGCGACCTCAGGCTCGAAGCGCCCCTGGTGCGCTCTGATCCGGCGGCGCCCTGGCTCACCGTCCAGGGCGGCACCAATGGCATTCTGATGGACGACACCGTGCGGATCAACGGGGTGCTGGGCCCCGAGGCCAGCCTGCCCTTCCTGAGCTTGTCGGGGGGGACCAGCGGCGTGCAGGTGCTCAGCCCACTGCTGGAGCAGATCGCGGTGGGGCCCACGGACGGCACTGTGGGAGTCGTGGTGCGCAACGCCGCGCCCACGGGAGATGCAGCTGCTCCTCGACGCCAACAACCAGGCGGGCGTGGCGGAGCTCAAGGTGCTGGCCGGCGGCAATTGCGAGCTCAACGCGCAGTTCCAGTTCATAAGTTTAAACACCACCAACGGCGTGGCCAACCTGGCGATCGAGCCCAACATCGGGGGCAGCAACGATGGAGAGGTCATTTTTGGTTATGGCTTCGTCAACCTGAGCGACCGGGCGCTCAAGGAGAACGTCCGGGCCATCCCGGAGGAGGAGCTCCAGCAAACCTTCGACGCCGTGGAGCCGCAGCTCTACGACCGCATCGACGGCGGCAAGGAGCAGATAGGCTTCGTGGCCCAGGACGTGCAAGCCAGCGGGAAGCTGGGAGCGACCATGTGCAAGACGAAGACTTTGGACGGTAGAGAGCTGATGGCTCTCGATTATCAGAAGCTCTCGGTGGTGCTGTGGGGCGTGGTCAAGAAGCTGCAGAAGCGGGTCGAAAAGCTCGAGAAGAAGAAGGGGCGCAAAGGCGACTCGGATTAGAAATGGCAGAGGACGGTGCGATGGAGCTTTTAGGGCGGCTCGCCCGCGACTTTAACGTGCGGGATCCCCGCAAGCTCTTTCAGATCGCCCGGCGGGAGTTCCCGGAGCGGCGGGACCTCACGAGTGCGCGGGCCCAGGCGGCATTGCGCAGCGACGTGGCGCGGCAGGTGCTCGCACCGAAGCCGCGGAGTCTGGGGAAGAGTGCGGCGGAGGGGCCGAACGACCGCCTGCAAGCGGACCTCATCGATTTCAGCCAGAACACTCGGGGAGCCAACAAATTTGGCTTGGTGGTGACGGATGTGTTCACACGGGAGGTGGCCACCAAGGCCCTGCCCGACAAGCGGGCGGAGACCGTCACCCGAGCGGCCGCGGAGATCATCCCCGAGCTGGTCCAGGACGAAACCAACGTCGTGGTCACGACCGACATGGGGAACGAGTTTCGGGGTTTGGAGGCGGCGCTGCCCGGAGGCGCGGTGCACCGGCAGAAGGACCCCTCGGACCGCAATGCGACGGCGGTGGTGGACCGGGCGATTCAAACTTTGAAGAAGGATCTGGCGGGCAAGGTCGCCCGGGACGGTGGGGGCTGGGGCGACCATGTGGAAGAGGCGGCGGAAGCCTACAATGCCAGGCCGCATGCGGCGGTGACGGTGGCCCCCGAGGATGTGGAGACGATGCCGGCCGCGAGCTTCCGGGTCTATCAAGACAACGCAGCGAAGTTCAAGCACAACGATGAGTTGACGAGGAGCCGTCAGCGGCGGCTCGAGGAGGCGGGGGCGTTCCGGGCCCCCGCCAATGCGCAAAGGTCCTTCCAGCCCCAGTACGGGGCGGTGCGGGAGGTTTCGAATTATGATTCGATGACGGTGCGGGCCACCGACGGTTCGGAGACCCTGCTGAAGCATGCGCTTCCTGTGCCTCGCGGCTCCGCGGAGCCTAAAGCACGGCTGACTCGGCGGCCGGTGCCGTTAGCGGTCAGGCAGCTCAGAGATTTCAACCCCGGGCCCACGGCGCCACCCGGTTGAGACACCTGAGACAGGTGAGACAAGAGCTTAAATAGACTAAAGCTGTCTCAGGCCTGTCTCACCTGTTTCATCCCTAGTATGGCAGCCTCGCTGGGGTGAGTAAAGAGGAGCGGTCGGGGAGGGGGGGGGTCAGGACGGCTTGAGACAGCTGAGACAGCTGAGACAAGAGGCCAAATAGACTAAAGGCGTCTCAGGCCTGTCTCACCTGTCTCATCCCTTGTATGGCAGCCTCGCTGGGGTGAGTAAAGAGGAGCGGTCGGGGAGGGGGGGTCAGGACGGCTTGAGACAGCTGAGACAGCTGAGACAAGAGGCCTAATAGACTAAAGGCGTCTCAGGGCTGTCTCAGCTGTCTCAAGTTGTCGCGGGCCGTTGTTTTCGTCAAAAACATCGCTAAAAGCGAGCCTGAGACAGCTGAGACGGCCCTGAGACAGCTTTAGTCTATTTGGCCTCTTGTCTCAGCTGTCTCAGCTGTCTCAGGCCGGGCCGGCGCCGCCTCCAGAGCATCGCATCCAGAGCATCGGGGAGCATCCAGAGCATCAGCGAGCCTGAGACAGCTGAGACGGCCCTGAGGCAGCTTTAGTCTATTTGGCCTCTTGTCTCAGCTGTCTCAGCTGTCTCAGGCCGGGCCGGCGCCGCCTCCAGAGCATCGCATCCAGAGCATCGGGGAGCATCCAGAGCATCAGCGAGCATCCAGAGCATCAGCGAGCATCCAGAGCATCGCATCGAGAGCATCAAAACGAGGTTCAGGCTAGGGTGTGGGATGGAAACCAAAAAAAAAGCTAGACCGGCCCTATCTAAACCGGGGGGGGACGCCCCTAGCCGGCGAACCCTACACACACTGTAGTAAAAAGCTCTGGGCCAGCATCGAGGAGTTCGGAGAAGTTATTAATTTAGGGAAAAAGTAGGATTTGAAGTAGGATTTCGGATAGGGTCAGATTTCGGAATACGATTTCAAGTAGGAATAAAATAGGAAAAAAATAGGACGAAAATAAAGCGTTTTGGAGGGTTCGGATTTCGGAACAGGAGGCAAGCGTGTTTGGATTGTGATTGAAAGGTTCGCATTGCTCTTTGGCCCAGGCGTAGTCCAGGGTCCAGGTGCAATGGGCTGGGACGAGCAAGCTGAGAAGTGCTGTGAGATCCTGGCGCAGCTGGACAAGCTGTTCCAGGAAGCAGACGATCTTCACAGCGAGAGCGATGCAGAGTTGTCGCAGAGGACAGAAGGTAGCGAGCCTGCGAATCGGGTGTGGTGGGCCCAGCTGCTGCTGGATCACACCCATAAGTTAGGCATCCGAATTCCAAAGTGCGAGCTGCCTCGACGTGTTGTCTCCTGTTGCTCCGGTGGCTGCTCGGAAGCTTTTGCCCTCAAGGACCTGCGGTCAGTGCAGGGACAGATTCATGCTGAGAGCTGCATGTCACCCAAGACCACAGTCCATAGATTCCTTTGCTGTTCGGCGTGCATGCAGTGTTTCGAGATAAGTTTGTATTGTTTCACGTGATAGTAGTATCTTACAAGTATGGTGTACGCCCGGGTTTCGCCAGGAGCTCGACATTCCTTTCATCATCGAATCCAGCAGTGAGCCCGAAAGGCAGTTCAGAGAATTCCAGCTCGCTAACCATGTAGACATTCAACATCAGCATGTGTCTTTTGCGGACCAGCTAGCCGCAGCACCTTGTGCGCTGCACTCTGGCAGCTCAGAATGCAAAGTTGAAGCCTCGCCAGACCTTCTGGTGATCGGGGCCCCATGTAATCCTTTCTCAATCCAGCGACCAGGACGATTCACTGCAGGCAGCACGGAAGGGCATGCTCTCAGCAAGCTGACTTTGCGTGGGGTACTGACTGCTTTGCAAAAGTTTAGCCCTCACACTGCCATCGCGGAGACCACAGATGGCTTCTTGAAGCCTCTGTCTGCAGATTCCTCGGAAACGCCGTTGACACTGCACCATGTCTGAAGTGCATAGGAGCTTCTGTCACGCAGTCTGTACGTGCTTGTTTCCCACAACAAGGAACACCAAGCAAAAGTTTGTTTCACTGCCAGTGTTACGGGGCTTCCACTTTGTTGCAGAGTCGGCACACCCACCAGGTTGTGAGGCACTTCAGTTGTTGCAAACCTAGGACTTAGGTCGAGGCGCTTAGGATGCCGCTGCCCTTGTGTGTGTTTCGGAAGGCTAGTTACTTAACTGGTCTCTTTCCCTAGGTCATATAGCTGTCCCCACTTGCGAAGACAGACATGATGCTTGGATGGGGGTCTGAGCGTGTGTGACTGTCTCAGGTTGACAAAGGCGTTCCGCCAGACCACCTTTCGGTTCGGCGGCTACCATGTCGCAGTGCTGAAGCTGCAAATGACTCCGTGGATGAACATCTCTCGGTCTCGGTCAGCCTTGCATGTGTTAGTTGCGCTTTGTCGCGTCTGAGAGGTTTCGTGCTGGCTGGACAGCAGCAGTTACTCAGCGGATGTGCCGGCACAGCTCATGCCATGTGCAGCTCCCATTGACTCACGTGTGTTGCTGCAGGGGCTTTGGGCTGCAGTAGAGGTTCTTGTCAGTATAGATTCATCAATGCACGTGGATGTGTTGCAAATCCAGTCTAAGTGCTGTCTGCCGTAGTCCGGAACTGCATGACGTGAGTCTAACTGGCTAGCCGCACATAGTGCATACAGGGAATCGTGATAGTCCTCCTGCTTACTAGCCTCTAGCATGCCGGGATGGGGAGCAGTCGCTGAACGCTTTGTGGATGCAGTAGAGCCGGTTCCAGAACGCGGTCCCTTGCTGGGCACGCCAGCTACCGAGCGGCACATTCCTCGTCGAGGACGTCCGCCCGGAGATGCAGCCATGCGCCAGGACATTTTGGCTAGACGCAGGGCTTTGGCGCTAGTGGATGAGGAATCACAGCGAAGTGACGGCGAGGAAAGTCTCGGGGAGCCAAGCTCGGAGACTGCACTCCTGTCAGTGTTGCCGTCCCCGCTGCACCAACAGTTGCTTCGGCAGCTTGTGGCCGTGAGGCAGAAGCGCGAGGGTTTGCCCGAGACTAGCGAAGACCGACCCAGCAACATTGCCAGTTTTCTCATCAAGAATTCGGCCCGCATGATGTCGAAAACCATGGCATCCTTGGCTGCTAACACAAGCCAGAAAATCTACGCACATCGTGTGCCGCAGGTGGCCTGTGCAGCTTGGCAGTGCATGTCCATGCACTGGCAAGCTTTGACTGCCAAGGTATGCCAGATGTTGAATCAAGGCTACCGGGGCTTAGTACTTGCCCGTGTACGAAAATATGACGAGAGTCCTTTCCTGGTGCGTGTCTCCGAGGATAGCAAGGAGGTTTCTTCGTTCAGCAGAAGGTTTGGAGTGTCTTCGAAGTCAACTGCCAACCAGGGTAGCACAGCAAAGGTTGTCTCTACAAAGCATCGCTTGATGATGTTGCTGCAGTCGCCCTCAGGCCAACATTGCATTTTGCAAGGGGAGGCACCCTCTCGCCTGCACCTCATTGAGGCTCAGAAAGCCTCGCACTTCAAGAAGTGCCAAGACGCTTGCCTCAGGGACGTGAACTTACCTGACGACTTTGCGCAGATGTTTGACCTTTGTGTCTCGCTTCCAGCTACAGACAGATTTACAAGTATGGTTCTCACCGAGAAATGGCTCCACCATGAGCGCCCGTTCTGGGTGACCTCGCACAGCTTCTGCTCCATACACAGAATGGCTGGTTCACAGGGCCACATGTGCAGCTTGGTGCCAAACGATGTCACTGGGATGCTGTCGGCTGCACTGGCGACACAGAGTGCGGGGAGCAGCTCGTTCATGAAAGATTGTCTCTTCGACATTTTGTGCGAACGTGTTGAGATCGTACATGGCGAGGCTTCTTGTGAAGAACACCGGAACAGTCTCTACAACTTGTTCCTGCCGCTCGAAGGAGACGACCGGCGCCTGCACGAGAAGCAGCGACTGATGCTGGCAAAGTATTTGAACGGCAATGTTCAGGATCGCAGCCGAGTCATCCATATGACCACAGACACTTCGCTGACGAGGGAGTCTTTGCTGCAGGACATGAGACAGTACCTCGTGCCAGCTCTTCTGCCGCAGAGCACGCCTCCGTTCTACAACCGGTCCAAGTGGCTAGGCGCAGAAAAGGCAATCTCCTGGCACGGCGTGCTCGCGACACACCATGACCTTCACAGGCTCCTTTTCGCCCGTTGGGCCGGCATGAGCAATGTTGTGGTAGCACCGAGCTCGCGTCCGAACCGTCCGGAGTGCATTGGCTGGGCTGAGGTGGCCGCGTCATCTTCTGCTGCAAACAGTTCGCCAGGTGCACCGATGCCTTTGGCACCTGTGCAGCACATGCCTGCCGACGATGGGGTTGCTGAGGACCCGGAACCAGACTTTGAGGCCAAGCAGGATTGGACGAAGTGGAACAAACGCCAGAAAGACAAGGCAGTGTGTTGGTCACAGGAGGATGCGGAAAGACACTTGATAGCTATGCGCATCGCTTGTGGCCCTTTCGTGCGATTGCTACGACGAGCCTGTCACTTGTCCGGTCGCGGCTGGGAGAAGCAACAACTCTTGCAGGCAGCACGTGGTCACCCCAGGGACTTCCGCATCCTAGAACTCCATTACAAGCTGTGGCCCGAGTACAAGACGGAAGTTTCCAACTCGCTCCACTCGCCTGTGCCAGCAGTGCCGTTTAGGTTGCAATCCCGTTCAGTGCAGCTTCGTGGACTGCTGACACGCATGCATGTGCGGGGTCTCTGCTCCTTGCATCAGAACCTGGGATGCTACGTGGACGGGTTCCCGCAGTCACTGTTTAAAGTACTGACGGCTCCTGAGCAGTGCCAGAAGGTTCTGGACAGGCCCCCGTGCTTGAGGGATCCCTTGAGCAAGAAGATCATGGAGAGGTTCGACACTCCCGCCCTCTTGCAGAGCGCTGAAGGAACTGCCGTGCTCAGCGCACTGGCCTTGACGTACGAAATCGACACCTACGAGGTGGAGAGATCTTTCAGTGAGGTACGTCGGCGGATCAAGAGCAAGGTTGCCCAGACATGGAAGCCCACAGCTTCGGACATCGCTGCAGAGAGCCTGCTGCGTTTCGCTTCCAACAGCAAGCTTCGAGGTCAACAGTTTCTGGGCAGGGAGAGCAAGCAGGCTCGCAAAGCACGGAAACTGAAGCAGGTCCAGGGCGGAGGGCCTTGGCGAGTCTTCTGTTCCCGCTTCTTTCGCGGACGACAGTTCAACAGGACAACAGTGAGGCAAGCAGCAGCTGAATACCGGCGCATCCGAGGCACTCCAGCCTTCGAGGAGTTGCGACAGATAGGCATGCTCATGCACATGCGCCGCCGTTACGGCATGGGCGCAGTCGCAGATGGGTTAGCTGATGCTTCTCCTTCGAGGGACATGCCCGGAGGAGCTTTGGTTGGCAGAGCGCCTCCGCAACACCCTCTGCAGCAACTGCGAAAGCAGCAAAGGGAGCTCGCGAAACAGAGCAGGGTAGAACAGGAAGCCCAGCTGCAGCAAATCGTGGTGGCCTCTCGCAACATCGCAGACAGGGCAGCGTTCCAGGGCACATGGTCGCAGATGGAGGCCAGTGCGCAGATCGTGGCTGCGGACAAGGGCCGCCTGCTGTGCAGTCATGCTGCTGCAGCTCCCCTGCATGTGGAGTACTTCCCTGCGGCAGCTGAGCTTGTGTCGGACAGCGTGGGTGTGCTCGGTTTTGTGCTATGCACATGGTAGTGCACTTCCTTGTGCTTCTAGATTGTCTCCTAGCCTGTCTCGGTGCTGCCTAGCCTAGCTGCGCATTAGCGCCTCCAAGTCTCTTACTGTTCCTCAGTTCCTGTGTTTGTATGTGCTTGTGTTCGGTGTGTCAGGGTTTGCGGTTCAGGTTTTAATGTGAAAGCCTAGATTTGACTCTTTCTGTCTTTGTAGCTCTTAGCTGAGAGGTTTATATACAGTGAAGAATATGCTGTCCACGGCCTCGATGACTATTCCTCGATGTCCTCGTGTACTGATCTTATAGTAGTGTCTCTTGTTTTCCTGCGACAGGAGCTCTTCGATCCTAGTCTTCCTCCACAAGCCCGCCCTGTACCACGTCTTTTCGGTGACCTTGCTGACGTATGGGAAGAGGCATGCAGCTTGATTCGGACGACCAAAGAGGAGAATAAGACCTATGGCAAGAGCCCTGCCGACGGCATTTTCCCGACAGACTGTGCCAAGTTGGGACGATGCATCTGCACCGGCAAGGGGCAGCAGTCCTGGTGGATGCATGGTAACATTACACGGCTGCTGAACCATTACCTGGCAACGCCCAAGACCAGAAAGCGGAAGCGTGGTGAGGCTCTGCCCGGAGAGAAGCAGAAAAACGAACAGACTGTGGCCCGCAGGCTTGCAGATGCATCCAAACTGTGCTTTTGCTTCGAGCCTTCATCTGCAGCCTCAGAGGACAGTGTCTCGCATTGCTAGACAGCAGGTCACTCCCGATTCACGCCTAGATTCTGCTTTCAGAGACGGATGTGTGGCGTAGGCACTTAGTCCCAGTCCCCGTCAAACTTAGACTTCCTGGGCCCTAGACCCGGAAGGCAGCCTCCTGCCTTCCCCTGGGTCTGTCTAGACCTCGATCCTGCTGCCAGGACGACTCGGAGGACGTGATGCCAGAAGCTCCCCCGAACAGCTGGGCGGGCGTAGCAGCGCGCAGGGCCCAGCTGCCGCTGCAGAGCAGAGCCGGGCCGGGCAGACGTGTCTGGGCACATCTTGGTTACATGAACCATGCCCCCATCTCGCACTACATGTTCACGCTGGTGCCAGCGAGAGAGGGTGCTGCAGTCAGTGGCGGTGACATGATTCAGCTGCAACTTCCCGACCCCGTAAATGCGCAACGCAGCATGGACTTCTTCGAGCAGGCTCTAGACCTGCAGCTGCCGTGGCAGTTCACTCTTTACCAGATGGAGGGACGTGTGGAGGGCTTTCTGCCGGAGAACTTGGCTCCCAACTCCTTCTTGGTTCGCCGACTTCTGGAGGTGCCAGCACAGCGTTTCTGGATGGGCAGCGTCGAAGAGATTCGAAGGCATGGACCTGAGCCGCCACCTCCACGGCCGCCGCAGCGACCACGGGGCGGTGCTCGATTGGCCAGTGGAAGACGCTCTGCGGCTCAAGGTGCGACTGTTCGTGTGCCTTCCTTGTTCCCACGTCGGCGTCGCCGACTTCTGCGAGAGCGCCAGGCAGAGCTGGAGGAGCAGGCAGAAGAGGAGGAGCTGACCGACGACGAGAGCCTAGATGCTGGGCACTTGGAGAACATGGAAGGCGAGGAGAGCGAGCTTGCGGACGACCCCGAGCTGCCAGAGTCGCCAGCGGAAGCGGCTGCGGCTGTAGATCCGGAGCTTCGAGCAGCAGCAGCAGCTGTGGACCCTGACCGCGGCGTGGTGCCAGATGTTCCTCCTGCAGTTGCGCCCCGTCCAGTGCACGAGGTGCTCCCTGACCGTCTGCCAGCAGATGCCGTGCGTGTAGATGTCGGGGACTACGGCGTCCTGATCTACTATCCATCCACGAGGAGTTGCTTGGCTTTTTGCAGGCATCCTGCGCACGAGAAATGTCGGAAGCAACGTACCCTACTCGCGGGCCGCAAGAAAGGCCAAGGACGGCCACTGGGCTTTTTAGCCTCATGGCTGACCCAAGCGGGCGAGTTCCGCGATTCCACCGATCATGTGCATTGTTTCGTCGGCACCTTGGCCAGCAGACGGGCGGGCCGAAGCTACCTCCTGACATGTCCGGGCAGCGACCGCATGTTCCCACTGGAGCGTCCACGTTTGGAGGGCGAGGACGAGGAGCCAGCGGAATTCACTTGAGAGCCCGTGCGGCTCCGAGGAAGGATGGAAAGATGGCCAGACTTCTTGTATCTATGTATCTTTATCCGCAGTTGAGCAAGAATCAGCAAGGTTACACCAAGTGTCATTGCTGCCGTCCGCAGCTTTGTAAGCCTTCGAAGAAGCTCGCAAAGGTGCGTTCCAGACAACACGTGCGCGGAGGATGCGTGTGCTTGAGTGTGAAAGAAACATGTCCGAGCTGTATGTGCAGTCTCGACTATAGTCACGACAGTCTATGCACATAGTTCCAAACTCTGGTCCATGTTTTATTTGGCATGGAGTTTGAGCGCAGTGCCTCAAATCCCTGCCAGGACCTGTCAAGACTCTCCCAGTGTAGCACGGCAGCAACAACTTCAGCATTAGTCTGTAGCTTTTAGTGTTGGCGCTAGTGACGATTCCCAGGCTTCCCGATTCAGGCCTGCACAAAGCACAGGACTACAAAACAAACCCGACAAGAAGCCAACACAAGCGCACACTCAAACAGGCAGCCCCCTAGCACTGGACTCCTTTTAGTCTTCCTCCCTACCCCGGGTTCTCAAGGTTCCCGGGTTTCTGGGCTTGCGGGGCCTGGTATGGTTTCCAGGTTCAAGGCGCTTGGTTGCTTGTGTTGGCTTCGGAAAGCAATGCCCGCCAGGATCTACATCAACTACTTTCGCAAGGACCTCTATTCGCCGGAGGATGTGGCTAGATTTAAGCAGACGGCTCAGGAGCCGCGGCTTTATTTCCGCTGCTGGAGTCAGATTCCCAATAATAGCTAGGCCTTTGTTTTCGGCGTCATCTAGGACCGGTGGGGCTTGCCCCTTCCCTACCTAGCAACCCAACCCACGCGTATCAAAGACGGTGTGCCCTGTAATGACACTCCTCTGTAGACAACAATGTTTCAAGTCTAGCTTCCAGATTCCAGGGTTCAGTTCTCACTTGTCGTGTTGTCACCCGCTTCGGCATTTCGCCGACTTGACTGCTCCGACCTTCAGTCTCAAGTCCGGGTTCTAGATTCTAGAGTTTTCGGCGTGGGGCTTGGGGTCTGGGGTTTAGTTTAGGCTAGCGGCCAGTGTGTATTCGGCGTAGTTTTCGTGCTTGGGCACCAAAGGCTCTGTATAGGCTGTGCGCAGCGACCGTGCAAATCAAGACTCTTGTCTCCAGTCACTGCATTCTTCACGGGTGGAAAGTAGACTTTCTCGAGAACAATAGATTCTGTCCTATAGGTTTGCTGAGCCCCGCCGTGCTCTTACGAAAACTTTAGAATACTTAGTTTCCCGCACCCACAAACCCGGAAATAAGCAAACTAGCCGGCCCCTGCGCTTTCTGCGTCTGCACATGTAGCATCCTGTTCAGGAAAACAAGCTCTGTTCCATCCCGGAAGGTGTTCAAGGTTCTAGATCTAGCTTGCCCCCCAAGTCCAAGAAACATCAAGTAAGCGGCAAATCACACGTGCCAGGACATTCTCGACGAGCAGATGCGAAGCACACCGCCCATGCAGATTGAGGCCTGTCTTATGCAGGCTGACAATCCCATTCTGCGGAACGATCTCGCAAGGCTGCAGGACGGAGGGTCACTGGGGCATCGATGCCGCTTTTTTTTCCTGCGTAAGCTGTTGAAGGAGGTACGCTGAGGCTCAAGGCTCAAACGTGGTCCCAGCAACTGCGGAGATCTTAAGTAAGGTCTTTGATAGCACCGGTCTTTGGCAGCTTAGAGACTTTGTACCACGATACCTCCGAGTTGCCCTGGATTCATGCAAGACAGGCAGCGCCTCCCTTCTATCGTGTGCCTGCAGTGGTCTTGTTGTACACACTAAAGCTTTCAGATACTCCGGACATTGCTAGATACAAAACAAACAGAGACACCGGGACATGCACGGACACAACACTTGCACGGACCAAGTCCGGGTGCCCGACGCAGGGTCCTTCACTGATTTCGGGGAGTCAGCCTGCTCCTGCCCTGCTCCTGCTCGCGCTTTTCCCGTTCCTAGTCCTGCTCCGGCTCCTGCTCCTGCTCCTGCTGCTGCTGCTGCTATTTCCATCGTCGTTCAAGCCGAGCACGAGGGGAGGGGCCCCGTGGGGAGCTTGACGGACGGGGGGAAGCGGACGGGCCTGCTTCCTGCATGTACCCCCTGTACCGTCGGACGGCGATTGAAATGTATAATTGCTGCTGCTGCTGCTGCTGCTGCTGCTGCTGCTGCTGCTGCTGCTGCTGCTGCTGCTGCTGCTGCTGCTCTCTTCCTCTTCCGCGCCTGCTCCTGCCATCTCCTGCCCCTCCCGAAAAGCAAACCCCCTCTCCCGGCCCGGGAGAGGGGGTTTGCTTGAGGCATTCTTGAGGCCAAAGCACTCTTCGTTGGTACCATATGCCGGGTCCGGACACGGCGTTCTGAATCGCTGACTCAGGTTGGTTATGTGGAGGGATGTTGGGCGGTGGGGTGGGGGGTGGGGTAAGGTGGGGTGGGCTGATGTGGGATGGGGTGGGGCGGCGGGGTGGGGTGGGGTGGGGTGGGGTGGTGGGGGGTGGTGGGGGGCCAGGGATGGGGGGTGGGGGGGGAGGGGAGGGGGTGCAATTGAGCAGAATCGCTGTTTTTTCCTATTTTTTTCCTATTTTTTTCTTATTTTTTTCCTAACCCTCCCAGGAAAAAGCAAAAAAATGCATTTCTGGAAAAATAGGAAAAATATTTAAATTGTTTTTTTCTTTTTTGAATATTCTTACAACCGTAGAAAAAAATATGCAAAAAATAGAAAAAAAATAGGAGGCCGCTGATCCCCCCCCCCCCCCTCTCCGGGTCCCTCCCGACCCCGCAAGGACCCGCCCCCCCCGCCCCACACCCCCCTACACCAACCCACCCCGCTGCCCCCAGCCACCGAAACCCCATCCAAAGCTCTGCTGCGGCATGCGTTCCTTTTCATTTGGAAAGGAACTCCATTCAACAAAGCAACAAACAACGTCGGGACCCAGGACCCCCATGTGCAGTGTCCGCGACTCAGCATCCTCTGCATATTTTGTCAGGCACACCTACATGCACACACAGACACACCCACACGCAAACACACACAGCAGACAGACACAAATTTACACACGCACGCACACATACACAGAGATAGAGACAGATGTAAATGGACACGGCCTGCGCCAACAGAGACAGCGATGCAGGGACACACGCACAAACACGCACACACACAGACAGAGAAAGACACAGACGCACACACAGTGACACACAGACACAGGTGTCACGGCTATATAGGTCCATATCACTTCGGGGCTCTATGTTTGCCAGATAAACATTGGCAGGAGAAGCGGAAACGCGGCCGCTCTCCGGTTGCAGACATGCAGGAGACAGAGCGGGAGCCTGCATGGAAGAAGCAATGCCGTGCCTGGGCTACACAGCTGGGGGTGACGGCCAGGACAGAAAAGAAGTTTCAGATGCGGATTCGGGGTCTAGACACTCCCACCGAGCGAGAGCGGAGAATCCTTGCCTTGACTCGCGCAGAGCTGGTCCAGCGGAAGCAGGGAACTCTCTTCGCGACGAAGGCCCAACTGCAAAGCAGCACCAGCTGCGCAATGGTCGATTTGTCACAGAACCCGAACCGCCGCTGCTTCACTAACCAAGACGGCATCAATCGGGCTCTCACTACGTCGTCTCGGTGCGTGCATCTTGGCCAGGAGCGTCTGGTGGTGCCGCGAGAGTTCATGTATTTTCAAGGACATGCCAGGTCCATGGTCGTGCCACAGGACATGAGCATGGCAAGCCTGAGCGCCTTAGCCGGCGAAGGCATGGCGCTGCCATGCGTGGCACTGTGCCTCTGGTGCCAGTTTCTGCTGAAGGGCATGCCGTGATAGTGTCGGGAAGGAGCGATGTGGGTGTGGCGGCAGAAGTGCCCGGTTGGTCCATGCACGGTTCTGTCTGAATTCTACGGAGATGTCAGTGATTCTATTCTAGTGTCCCAAAGTTCAGTGTTTCTGCCCTGGGATGGATTTAGAGACGAGTTTTCATAGTTGTCAGGCGAGTGGCTTGTGGGAAGATAGCCGGATGTCTAGGATGCAACGTCATTGTTTGTTTGCTTATGCATGGTGGCACCGGTTGCTTCCAGGACAGTTGGCTTGCCTGCTCCCCTACCCGAGAAGTAGCGCAATGCCTAAGTGGCAGAAGTTTGAATGTGTGCTGGGCGCAGAGATCTGCGTATTTCTTTGCATCCGTGGATAAAAACGGCTGCAGCGGCAGGACTGTGGCTTGCAGGCAGAAGGGGCATATACTGGGACTGTGACATATATATATATATATGTTGTATTTCAGGAGACCTTCCAAGACAGACGTTTCTCTGCGGTGTCCTGGCTGTTGGCCATGCGCGTACCTAGACTGGAAGAGGAGCATTAAAAGGGATAGGCAGGGAAGCCTTCTCAGCTTGGTCCTGCAGTCTGCAGCCGGTCTTGTGCAGGCTCGCCCGGGTTCGTGTCCAAAAAAAGACGTGACCTTTTTTGGGACAACTTCAGCTGTCATAATCAGCTAACGCTGGCGCAAAGTAGCGCAGTGATGCAAGGAAAGGCTTGGGCGAGACTGCTGGGCTTTGTGGTACAGTCACCGCAAAGCCGACGGCCCATTGCTCGGTTCTAGACTAAGACCGTGATGGGCGGCGACAGCAGACAGAGCGGAAGAGTTCAGCCCAGGCACTACTCGCAGTGGTTCCTTGCATGCTGGGAGCATGGTATGTGAAACTTTCTGCTCTGTCGGCTAGCGTTTCTGCAACCCAGCAGTGCTGCTAGTGAAGTGCATACCTGCCGCGCGTGCCAGACGCCTAAAAGCATGTGTGTGTCTCCGGTTTCCCGAAACTGCCGCTGCAGCACTAGCCGGCGACGCCAACTCAGGATACACACAGCAGTTTGTTGCAGTCATGTCGTTTCCAGTGACTCCGGTGCAGTGGCAGTTGGCCAAGACATGCTGCTCTGTGCGGCTGCCTTCTTACACGCAGGACGTCCTGTTCAAGTTGTCGCACAGCTGTATA